CTGAAAATGTTATCAAAATTACAAACAGACATGGAACTAATTTTTTTTTCGAAACGTAAAGCGTTTTCGATTGTGAGCAAATCTTTTTTTTTTTTTTTTTTTACCTCACTCATGAATACAAAGCTTTCCTACCGTAGAAAGCAAAATAAATACTAAAAAAGTATTTGTTGTGTAGTTTAAATGGCGGTAAAGATCTCTCCGAATTAGAGCATGTTGAAGAAGCCGCTAAGAATTCCTCTAATTGTTCTAATTTGGTTGACATCAGCGCCAATGAGCAGGACGTTCCATCTTGATGTGTTCCTTTTCAGTGCTAATCTACACTCACTAATTAGTAACTGGGGCACTAATAGCCTGCCTTTCATGGCTTACTCTAAGGTCATAACAGTCGCCTCAAAACTAGAGCAACCTTTTTGTCAACAATTATTTATGTTAATTCAGAAACACAGAAAATAATGTAATGAAGTTTCAGAGAAACGATTATACTATAATATATTCCATTATAAGATAGTATGGGAAAGTTCCTGAACATAGCGCTGAGTTCATCATCGATGGTTTTGTTCAGCACGAATTTGTCCAGTTTAGAGATGGATCCGATCCCATTGATGAACTCTGAGTTTAGGTACTTGCAATATCAACTGGAACTTTATCAAGCAGATTCGAGATAAATATATCTTTAAGTTCCAAATTGTATATATCTTATTAATCCTTACAAACTCAGTAAAACCCGAATAAATTAATTTGTTTACTTAAAAGTTGTATGTATTTTATTTTTTCAAGAAAAAAAGTCAACCTTCCTCAAAATTTGTGTTTTTTAGATTTTATATTATTATTTTTTAGATATGGCATTAATCGTTTCTATCTGGGTATAATTTTTATCCTTTGCCAAATAAACTCTAATTTGTTCCCAAAGGAGCGAGACTGTACTCTTTCGCAAGGTTCGAACGAAATATGAAGGAATACTTTCAAAAAGGATGGTGCGACAAAGACTATGTTATATGTCGATTTCCATCATGGCATAAAATAAATCAAAAGTTTATATATGTGGCACCTGTGCAAAGTGTGTTAAGTGCAATTTTATTAATTTTTATGATCATCACTAAAAAAGGAATTTGTCTCTGTTTGTGAATCATGGGTTGAAACTCGAAAATTTAACTCGCATTTGTAAAAATTACAAACTTTTTTTCCCTTAAATATCATTGTTCCACCTCTACGATGCACAGGTGCCATGTATTTTTTTTTTTTTTATGAGTTTCTATTGCATGCTGATTAATAAGGGGTAGAAATGTACCCTACACAGTTTTTGTTAAGTGCCACTAACGATAAAAATGTTGATGAGTGAGACCGCATTTAAATGGATATTCCCATAAGATGAATTTGCTTTATAAGGAATGAAAAAGATTTAAACACATACCGAATAGGTCTCAGTTACAATAGATTTTCATGAAACAATTATACAGGCCTACATATATTATTATTGAATATTATCTTGAAATCTGCTGAGGTCCCCTGTTTTGTGAAGAAAACTCGTGAAGCCTAAGACGCTCATATTATTGGAACTTGACTTCTGAGTGGACGGCAGTTTTCTTTTATTCGTCTCTTATCTGCTACAGTTGCCCCGAGTGTCCCAAGCATCTGTTGTTTCCATTTGGACCATTGTTCTCATGGTCTTCTAAAGTAGCCTCAGGGGAGGGATTGTAGGGTTGTCTTCGCAGTTACATCTTCCTTCCAATCGGCAGTAAACTTTGCGCCGAAACTTATTGAACCGCAACCGACTAAGTTTAAGTCTCAATTTAGTAAATGCAACTTAATTTGTTTATATGCATAGAAATGATTTGTTGTATTACTGTTTTAAATTTATATTGAATCTCCGTTGGAAATTTTTTTTCTCTAAGGCATTAGCGTGGATAATAATGATAAAAACAAAACAAAAAAAAAAAAAACATCGATGTAACAGATACACTATTCTAAAAACATTGATGTTTGTTTGTAAACAATCAATTGAACTTTGGGCCGAAACGTCGGCAAAAATAAATATAATTTATTTATTTTTGCATTTTTTTATTGAACACCCCTACCAATCTTCTCTTCAATTATTCACTACATTCAACCACCTATCCACAATTATTTTAACAATCGATGTTTGTTTGCTCTTAAATTGGTAAAAAATTAAAAATAAAATGAAACTCAATTTGTATTTATTGTTCTGTTTTTGATTATTATTTTATATTTGTTAAAACGTAATACGAGATTTATTATTTAATTTATGGAAGACTTTATATGAGCTATAAAAAGTAAATCACCATAACTTCCTTAACATTTGTATTGGGTACATAAGGAAATACGCAAACCTGATACTATGACAATAATTTTATTTATACTAAAAAAGTAAAATTCTGTACCACCACTACAACCTATAACCCATGAAGTGTCTTGGGTTATGTACTAGGAAGTAATGTTTCAAGCCCAACGGTCATGCAGGGAAGTGATCGGTCCGAGATCACGCCTTACCTTCACATTTTCTCTCTTAATTAATTATTGAATTAAGGATATCCATTTTATGCTGGCTGGGTGTACCTCAGGAGAGTCTCCCGACCACAGGGTCGATTCTCAGCTGATGAAAAACTACTTGTCATCAGTTGGATTCTGGCCCAGAATCTTGAGCTTAGGCCAGTGTTTACTAAGTCAGTGTTTACCAACTGAGCTACCCCGCTCCCCTTTTTTATTCACAAATGAATAGAATAATCCAATAAAAATGTATTTCATTAAACGTAATCGGTTTAAAACTAATATAACCAGCAAGACGAGTATTGGTCTTACGCACTCAGTCTTGAGCTTGGTCTTGGTGTTGCACAAGGGCTCGCTACAGTCTTTCAGTTGCCTATTAGCTTATTACTATAGAGATTTTACTGTAATTTTTTAGATGGAAGAAACTTAAGAATGCCCAAATGAATAATTAGAAGAGTTAAATGCAAAAAAAAAATGTATTGATTATACCAATTCTTTACATATATTAACTAAAATTGTCAGGTAACTATTTTGTCTTAATTTTTATTCAAAAAACCATTTTTGACCGATTTTGAACAACACTACTCCTTTTATAGCCATTATGTTCACAACAATCACAATAATTTTATTTCTTCAATAAAATTAATACCAGATTATTAGTACATTATTCTCCAAATTCTTCTAGCTTTGGGTCGAATCCAATGAACCGATTTTAAATATAGGTATATAGAGAAAGTTTGCGCATTGGTAAGCGAAAATCGGATATGGAATTGGATAAAATTGATATTGGATTATTTTTTCACTTATCTCTAACTTCTCTCCACCTTTGATCTTAATTGAGCAAGTCATTTTTTAAATAGAGACGTATATATAATACGTTCTCGCATCCAGTAGCAGAAATTGTAGAATGAATATGATATGGAACCATCTAAATACCTGTCTACTCAATCCCTGAAAATGCATCAAAATTGGATTAAAGGTATCATCTAATATGGCCGTCACATGGATTTGACTACGCTTCTATGACTTTTAGTAGTTAAGAACCAACAAAGAATAAAATATTAATTTTCGTTTAAGCGAGTAAAATCGAATGTTCCATATTTGGTATGCTGCTTCTTACATGAGCTTACTTGCGTGTCATATGTAAAAGATGTACCTAATTTGCCAAAATACCAGGTTAAGGTACTGGTACTGGGTGAGGGGAACTACTCCAGTAAGTGGTCCTTTTTGCCAACCCCTGATGGCTACCTTTAAGGTTTCCGCCGCGTACATGCCAGAGTGGGAATGTCAGGATACATTTCCTGGGGCCGCCGAGAAATGAAAAGTAACCGACCCAGGTGGGAATCGAACCCACAACGTTCAGAACCCGGCACTCAGGGACCAACGCCGCAACGTGCTCGGCCATTCCTTCCTTCACCAAGTTATGGAATAAACTTATTAAAATTGTACTGTGTTTGGTGCACATGACTTCCTTTCATTGTTTTGGCAGTGTATGATTAGAAAAAATCAAATACGTTATTTTAACTGAATGTCTTTATTTTTCATAGTTTCTCAAGTGTTTCACTATTAGACAAATAAAGTTATAATTTCTCAAAAAGGTATTATTTTTTTTTCTGTACCACTTCAGCTATGGGCTGTGGGTTGTTCAGGAAAGATGTTTGGGTAGAGATGACGCTCAAACTCCAGATTTCCCCGCTCAATTAATTATTTAATCAAGTGTACCCACTTTATGGAGGTTGGATATGCTTCGGGAGTGTCTCCTCAACCTGAGGCCGATCCACGGCTGATATAACAGAATAAATAATCATCTGCCACAACCAGGCTCGAATCTGGGACCTTGAAGGATAGGAGCCCATTGCCGTACTCACTGAGTTACCCCGCTCTTAATATGTTGTTATTTCAAATCACATCTGGCAGTATAATCTAAAAATACTTCGATATTTTAAAACATCGAAAGCTATCGCCACCATAAATGGATTGACAACGCTTTGGATAAATCAAACATTGATGTATGTCATTCATAATCAAACGATATTCCAACTATCATCATATTTTATTTACTTGTATAGATAAAAGGACATTTTTTTTTTTTTAAATTAAAAAGGATTTATTATACTTTCATTACTTTAGATTCTTGGGCCTATGGTTTGTGGTTTAGTTCTAAAATAAGTTAATACTAACTTGCCCGATAATATTGGATTACAAAGGTCTCGTGTCGAGGCTATGTGGGGATGAAATGAACTGAGACACTATTTTACTCAAAAGGTGGGAACGAGTCAATTATATTTTAAGTCTAATATGGTTATGTTCACGAATAGGTTAGATGAAAGTAAATCCCAAAGTTAATTTTACTCTTGAACCAGTTATAACCGTCCGTTAGAGTGCAAATCGAAGGAAGAAAAGCGTCATTTATTAATAGAGTCACTACGATCTGCTTACTCCCTATCTTGTATAAAGATAACAAGTCATGTGTTTATTATTGAAATATTTTATCAGTTACATGTGTTAGGACGTTCGTAATTGGTGGTTACTGTGGGAGAGGTTAGGAAACACTAGTCATGGATGCATGGATCTAATTTCCATTGATAAGGTATGTTGACTACCAACTTTACTCTTTTTTTTTTTACTTAAATTTTAGGCAAAATATATTAAACAAATTAGTAATATCATAGGATATTTTTGAAAATTATTGTGTAAAATAATTGTAGTATTTTAAAGTGGATTCGAGTTTCCTCTTAACACCCAACTTCCTTACAGAATTTATTATTTAAGTTTTTTTTTTTAATAATTAATTTAAATGCAACTTCTCAACCTCGTTTTTCCAAGAAAAGAGTGAGTTTTATTTTAAGATACAGATTGTTAAATGAGAAGTATATTTCATTTTCTAAAAGTATTTTTATTGCAGTAATGATTATTAAAAAATAACAAATATCTTAAAAATATAAATATTAATAAACATATGAAGTGACTACCTATTGTCCCAGCAGATCTTACAATAGAAGGGCGCCAAGTAAGTCAAAGGCATTTGCTTTTTTATTAGTACTTAAAAGTGTGCAGGATTGAGCATGGAAAAACTTGTACAGACACTCAAGCATGCGTAACACTTTACGCTCATACTGCAAGTTTTTCTAACATTTTACCACTATTTTACGCGGGAAAGCTTGAATCGTTTAAATTCGAATCTTGCCTATATTTATCTAGATCACAATTTATGGCTTCGGTATATCTCCAAGTAGTCCATTTAAATTAAAATTAGAAAATTAATTACATCACTGCTCTCAACTTCAGCTCGCTAGGCTCGCTCTAAAGGAGAAAACAAACCCCCAACGGTTTTTTCTACTAAACCTCGTCGGTTTAGGCCTTATAAAACGTTTCGGCCACTTCTTTATACTTTCGAAGATACTCAGCCATTATCGAGCTTCTATTTATGCTATTTCTATTCGGGCTACTGATGAAAGTGGAATGACACGTTTGTACAGTAGTACTTAATATTATGTTTGATTAATATAATGAAATTGCTTAAGTACAATCAGATCTATCATAAAAAAAAAAATTGATCAAATGGAAGAAATAAAACCTCTTGCATCCGCTAGCACCCCGTAATATCTATGTAATTTTTTTACTTTCCTATCTATACTAGGTAAGGAAAGTATTGCAATCGGCGGATCTATACGTTTCATTGGTCTGTCTGTGCCAAGATTTTCTAACGATTTTGATGAAACTTTCATATAATGTTCAAATCATTGTCCTTTCAATTTTCGTATATAGACTAAATTCCCGAAAAAAATTCAGGAAAAAAGTTATAAAGAAAAGAAAAATATTATGAGGTCTAACTCCGTAAGCATATATTTCCGATATGCGGTTTTCGACGGATCTATACGTTTCAGAGCTCCCTGAGTCCGAAAAACACATTTTTAGCCATTGGTCTGTCTGTCTGTCTGTGTGTGCCAAGATTTTCCCGGGAACTACTAAACCGATTTTGTTGCTTTTTTTTTATTTTTTAGGGTTTTGGCTACTGATGCTCGAAACGCCTTTTAGCCTGTCGTTTGAAAGGTAATGAAATTCCCTACAAAGCCATATACAAATCTTTCAATTTGGACAACTATTAACGAAGTTACAGCTATTTGATTTCCAATGTAAGATTAAGGGTTCATATCCTGGTATCAGATAGGGGTGAATGAGAGAATAAAGATGACTAAGTGAAAGTAAGAAAATCTGTTGCCCGCATCACACAATCTTCACTATTTCCTCTAATTTTAACATAAATTGTTGTTTGACAATACTAACCTATGGAAAAAAATTTTTGATCAGCAATATTACTGAGTGTTGAAATGTTTACACTGATCTACCTAAGGCGGTTTACATTGCTTTAGTTTATCAAATAAATCGTACTCAAATATTTTGTTTGATCAATTTTCAGAAAAATAAATCTAGTTCAATTCTTTTTTTTTTCTTCATGAACATGTAAAGATATAAAACTTTTCTAAAATAGGTAGGAATGTCGTGAGTGGGCGCACCATATATATTTTTTTTCATTCAATATTTGATTATTTTACATTTTATTGATATTGTACAAACTAACAAAAATCCTCGCAATTTTATAAATTTGCAACTCGCAACTCTTCCCTCCCCTTCAAGTTTTCATTTTCGTCTGGTCTCAAGATATTTGGTAGCGTACCGTATATCATGGACTATAGATGTGGGCTACAAGTGGGTTGGATAGGCTGATGACTGTAAATCAGAGACTACCTTGCAATGTTAGTGGTTTATCACAGAGATGGTATTATTCGCCGGAAGACGGCCGTCAACCGGTTGATTTACACAATCCCTCTCGGCTGGTGTATCCGCCTCTGTCAGCACATTTCCTTAGTCGCCAAAAACATTTGTCTCCTGTATGAATCTAGTTGCGAATAGGTTAGAATTTATCCTCAAATGCTTCCATTAAATTTACTCAAGCTTGGTTTTCCTACGCTACAATGCTCAGACCTCAATTTAAAATACAGTAAAACTTCTGAGTGGCAGACACTTCGAGGAATCAAAATTTGTCTGTTATAGAGAGACGTACATTTTAGAGAAAATGGTACTTTTCCGTTAGCCGGGTGCAAAAAAAAAAAAAAAAAAAAATGTAGAACTACGCCAAATTTCTTACAACCTTGAGGTTATTTCTTACAAAGCTTATTTCTTACAACCCTGTTCGTTTGGGTGGGGGGGAGATGGAGGGGTGCATGTGCTCTGTTCTCTGAATTTGTTAAAAAAAAAAAAAAGCAGGTTTTCCTTTTTTTCTTCCATCTTAATTTTTTTTTTAATGGTGAAAATTTGGGATTTAGTCAGAACTGAATGAAGAAGATGCAGTCTCTTATTTTCAAGAGAAAGGTATATCGGCAAAGAATGCAACATGTGATCAGAATCATGAAATGAAACTGTCGGAGAAGAGCATTCGCAATGTTACGTTGTTATTATCGACCAGATTGAGTTTTCTAACATCTTTGAGATTTATTTACGGGTGGAGCGAAGAGATGACATCAGTCAAATGGTGTGAAGAACAACTAGATATGAATCACAACACAGTTGTAGATTGGAACAACTACTTAAGAGAAGTTTGTGTAGAAGTATTAGCGGAACGTGAGAAAAAAAAAATCGGTGGTACTGACAAAATATTTGAGATAGACGAGAGCTTATTTACAAAACGAAAGAGCAATGCCGGTCGAATTTCTCCAAAACAGTGGATATTTACATTTGCGCCCGGCTAACGGAAAAATACCGAGAAAATGAACGTAAAACGTGATTAAAAAAATAAATAAAAATTAGTACTTTCAATTATATTTAAATGTCATATAACGTAAAAATTTAATCGTTTGTTCATTAAAAAAAAATTTATTTTTCAATTTACAATTTAAATATATTTTAATGAGAAATAATATATTTTTTTATAATAAAAGAGCACATATAAAATTGTAACTTGAATATAAAAAAGATAAAAGCTATAATCACCTAGAATCGTAATCTATAATTTTGTTTGAAGGTTTTGGTATGTAACTATTTTTTTTTTTAAATTGGTTTGGACAGGGCTGCCCGGAAGGGGATTTCATGCTCAACTTGCACCATTCAAATTTTTGAGGAGGTGAAAATTTTTGGATATGAAATACGATTTTTTAAATTCTACTTCACTAATGCAACTCTTTCTCTACCTTCGTTCAAAATGAAATTTTTTTGCCAACTTACTAATTTGAGATACAACTTTATCCCTCTTCATTGAAGGTTTGGAATATAATTGTTTGAAATGGTAAGCTCGGTAAAATTATTCATATCTTATTTGATCCATCCAAAACCTGATGTTTTGGAAAATAATTTGTTTGCCTTAAAATTTTTGTTTTATAGACCCTCTGTTCAAACTATTCTTTTAGTTCTTTAAAATTTCACACACCGTGACACACAACTTTGGAAATCGGTGGTGCTTAAATAATTGTTCTTTATAGAAAAGTGTCTGCAACAGGAATTTTCACTGGATATATATACAATCATTTTTATTTAAAATATTTGAGGCTATATCCTTCTTTTTTTTAATATTTCAGAGATGCTGTTATTACTGATGTTTAATTTTTGTCAAAAACAATACTATAGCTACATGTCACCTGGAAGTTTCTAAAAAGTTTTATTCTTAAATATATAAAGTTTATTTTTACTTACGAGCACTGGACGATCAGAAGAGAGCCTCAGGCATCATCCTAAAGAAAAAGATAATTTTAATTTTTGGAATAATGGAAATTGGAATACCATATTATATTATTTTAAAACAAAATTATATCTGTTGCACCTATACATATTATGTTTTAAAAAATCGTATTTATGGAAAAACACAATTGAAAGTTTAAAATTTTCACAGGCTCAAATTCAAAATTTTATTTCAATCCATAATTTACAAAGAAATGTTCACCTCTGTAATAGCTGCATAACTTAGTCCATTAAACACAAAGAAAGAGAGAAAAATTAGCTTTCTGGTGATAACCATAAAAATTCACAAGATTGCACATAACAAGCTTTTCCCCGGTGTAACGGAAATGAGTAGTTATTTTATATTTTGAAACTCATTTATATCCAAAAATATTTTAAAAAGAAACTATGAGTGGTGAAAAATAAAAAATAAAACTATGGAAACTAACATTATTTTGCCAGTAAGATGCCAAATAATATTAATTACCATGAAGTTTTGTATAAAATTAAACTTAAATGAATTTTTAAAACTTTTATACTTAGTTGATAACTAATATAAACAGTGTAAGAAAGCAAAAGTACAAATCCAACTACAAATTATGAAACAACTTCAATGGTTGACTGACCAAAACTACTTTTCATCATCTAAGTATGGGATAACCTATATTTGCTTCCTATTATCTCAAAGAAAAAAAAAAAGAATTGAAGACTGAAAACTATATGAATACACAAGAAAACTCAGCCAATGATCTTACAGCAAGGATACAGTATTATCAGGAGTTCCAATGAAGATAGTAACGAATGGATTTTTTGTCTCATAAGTCGGAAATGGGTTTGGTTCACATTGTAAGGGATGTTTGATCTTTTAAAGATACTTAT